CATATATCTGTAAGGATTCACTTCAGAAAAGGAGCTTATCGTAATGTTGCACTTTAGATCCAAGGACGCATTTGCACAATACTGTATCTGCATGCCCCACCTTTGGAAAATGAAGTATCCTAAGGCAGTAAGGCTCCTTTTTTCTTCGAACACTTTAGTCACACCTTAAATCAGCTAACGAGTGGAAACAAAACAATGACCTATTTAGACGAGAGGCCAGCACAGCAGTTGGTAAATGTTCCCAGAGCCGCACACCGCTGGCCGGAACTGAGGAGGTTTTACAGTCGTAGCCACTTTCACTGCGTGCTGTGAGCGGAAAAGAGAAATTCTCAGAAAACTTGTAAAAACGATGAATCATGTGGAGGATCACAAATGAATGAAAGGTTTTAATAGGGCTGGGCATCCTGGTGCATTTCTGGGTTTTGTTTCTCCAGAACTGAAATGATCACACTTCAAGGGAACAGAGAGTTCCCTTTTTTACACAAACCGGCAGGTTAGTTCCAAAATCAAAACACACACACCACACATTACTATTGTTCCGCTAAAAACAACTTCAACCGACAACATTGGCGCTAAGAATCACTGCCTCTCATTGTTTTCAGACAGAGAAGAAGAAGCGCAAGTACACAAAGTTTACTCATCCATAGTTTTCCTCCAGATAATACACTCAATTCCACAAACAAACAGACAAAGCACATTTACAGAGACAGATAAGGTACACAATCACAAACACATCTCTGATCTACAGACCGCAGCGCAGCAGTGAGCTAGACAATAGGCAGTGATACAGAAAAGGAGGATTGATACAGTTAGATGACAGATGAAGAAGGAAAGACAGAGACATGGAGAGCGAGAGAGAGGGGGGGAGATTGCTTTGTTAGCAGGACAGGGAATAAGGTAGTAATTACCTCACTGTGGGTTTGTTGATTATAGTTCAGCCAGGTTCTCCATGTTAATCATTTACCAGGGGAAGACAGAGATTAACAGAGAGACAGACACAGTGAGGAGAGATAGCAGGAAGTACGATAAATACATTCATTTGCATGCACACACACACAACACAGAAGGAATAGAGATAGACATAGACCCATTGACGGTGAAGAAATAATAAAACAAATATAAAGAAAGAAATCAGTCTAGAAGTGCAATCATCTCCTCTGACAAGACACAAGTACAAACACTGTATGCTTTCACTTTACTGTACATGGCAAGTGTGTGCGTGTGTCTGTGACTGTGTATGTGTGTGTGTGAGAAGGTATGCAGAGCAGAATGTGATTTACTTTGGTATTTAAAGTAGATCATTCATAAGTGCACACAAAGGGAAATTATGCATAAACAGAGCAGAGATTACACAGAAGACTTATGAGGGCTGCTTTCAATAAAGATACAGAAAACCAATACAAATATTCATCTCCTCACGTGTTGTTTAAACACGCTTCACTGGCTTGGAGCTCGCCCTGAGCTTTTGCCAGAAAGGGGAGAGAGACTCAGTTGAGGAGGTAAGAGAGATTTCAGAGGGCTCTGGCGTTACATTCTGTGTCCAGACTTGCAGAGTGAGTTCCAGTGAGAAATACATAAATATAGAGGTAAGAGAAATTGGTTTGAATAATTTTTCTGTTGTGTGGTATCCCCTTTTGTGAAACGCTCATCTCTAATTGTCACCTTGCTAATCCTAGGCTCTGCAAAGGAAAGACAAGAGGTGACTGGAAACAAGAGTTAGAGCTGTGATCCGAAAAGAACTGTTGCAACAAGTTCGCCTCCTGCCATGTCAGGTAAAAGGAGAAAGCAATAGTAGAGGTGTGTGCCAAGACCAAAGATAAGTCAAGAGGACGGGGAAATGGAGTAGCTGATTTAAGGCTCGAGTTTGGGTGACATTTGTTCTTATTACAGATGTATGAGCAGCTCATAAACGAGTGGCAAAAGTATCCTAAAAGCCATATCTCGTGTGGAAGAAAAGGCAATTCAATTCCTAAAGTTTTGGTGCTAGTAAACTGAGTGAATTTATGAGGATGAATGCAGCACACGAAGCAGCCAGTGTCAGCAAAGAGGCTGGTCAACTTATTTGGCCCAAGTTTTAAAGCACACCATGGAACAGAGGAGGGGGCTGAATATACCAATAAACTAGTCTGAGCCTGCTACTCATGGGAGAGCCGAGGTATACTGTCAGCACACACTCAAGCTAAGAGCACAGCAGTTATAATATGTTACTAACCTTTAACTGCTCCAGGAAGTAACAAAATAATTTCTCCTCTTATAAGGAACTATCGCTCTGAGAGAAACGCTGTTATAAAACAAGGAACGATCGTAAACGGCGGTTCATAAAATCATAAAAGGGCAGTCGAACCACTCGAGTCCCACAATGGAAAGAGGCAAGGGTGTCTTGATTCCACGATGTTCAGCGCTGACCCTCCCATCAGTCTATCACTTTCATTTCAGAGCTCCATTTTTCAATCTGCAGGGTGCTAAATGTGTGCCAGTTAAAGAGCTTCAGCGAGCCTTTGTTACAGCCATATTAGAAAGCGAAGAGCAGAGCAACACGGCCCTTCAGTCTCCACTTCACTGCCCCTGCTTCATTAAAACCATAAATCTAGATGTCAAATGAAAGGTGGTGGCCAGAGAACGTCTTCTGTCATCCGTAATGAAGAGGGGCTTGTTTTCTCACCAGCTACAGTGATGTTATATACGAGCCGAGCCTTAAATGTAATGTCTGTAACGGCAGCTTGCTTCCCCTATTCTGCTCATACGTTTACAAAATATAGAAGTATGCTATTTCATACTACATTATTGATTTTTGGGAACATAACTTTGACATATTACCTTGTAAAGTTTGCAAACGGTTAGTAAAGAGTGGCTTTTTTTTACAAACTAAGCACACATACCGTCCAACACTATCTTTCAAATTGTGTTTCTTTCTTTAGGACCACATTTTGCTCTGATTTGTTCTTTATTAAATGTATGAAGGAAATATCTGTTTTTGGTGTGCTACGACATACATTAACTTTTTCAGAGCAAAGACACAATCAACAAAAGTGATGAAACCCAATGAAACTGAATCAAAACCATGAGCGTAAGATAGTACATAAATACATGTATTTTAATTAATTAATATTGACAGAGAAATAATTGCAAATAATGGACAGCTAGTTGATTTTGTTATGCAAAAATTACAGCCGAAACAGTTTTCAGCCTCTCAAATATGGAGATTTTCAGATTTGTCTCCTTTATTAAAAAGGTGAATATCTTTGATCTTATCGTGTGATCTGAAGTGATCAGTGTACCATAAGCATGAGTTGATCCTGCAGTGTATCTTCATGCCAACAGAAGCATCGCTCTCCTGTCCCTGCGCTCCTTTTCACACGCTAGGCTACATTTACAGGCCTCAGGACATCCTGGCTAGCTGGCTGGCAGCTAATAGAAAATATGGTATGGGAAAATGACTGAAGCTCAACTAATCACGCCGCCAATATCCATCACTGGGCAGGAGGGAGCCGTGAGAGATAAAGAGGCGGGAGGACGAGGAGGGGGGAGTGCAGAGACAAAATGAAAAGGAGAGCGGGATGTAACAAGGGAGGTAATGAAGAGTGAGGAGAGGAAAGGGAAGAGAGGAGAGGAGAGGAGAAGGAGAGGAGAAGAGAAGGAGAGGAGAAGGAAAGGAGAGGAGAGGAGAGGAGAGGAGAGGAGAGGAGAAGGAAGGAAAGGAAAGGAAAGGAAAGGAAAGGAAAGGAAAGGAAAGGAAAGGAAAGGAACAGTAAACCCAGGGGATTTTGGACCGGGAGCAACATCACGGCTCTGCTGATAGCTTTGTGATTGGGTGGTGTTGCTGATGAGAGCGATTCTCTGCCACAGTGGGTTACCCGCCGCCGTGATGCTGATGGCATTGTGATTGTGTGGTGTTGTAGCCAACTGTGTGGCCCTGCCACAGACTGTGACCATTCATCCCTGAATCCCCGGGGAACAAGAAGGTGCTTCCTAATCCTCACAGTCTTCCTCCCCGGCACATTTTGGTTGGATCCCAATTACAGGACTGGGTTTTACCCGCCTGGACACACTAGATACAACCTCAGCTGACTCCAGCACAGGATGAGGCCTGTAGATCTGACAAAGGAGCATTTGGTGAAATGATCCGTCCCGAGAGTCATATCTCTGTAAATCTTTGCATCCACAAAATGTTAAATACAAGACAGGACCAGACACAACAAAGTGGTCTCTGTGGCCAGTGGCTATTAGCTAAAAAGGTCATTTATCTGAAAGAGTGATTGGGGAGTAAGGCCGCACGGAGAGTGAGAGTCTTTAAATAAGAAGGTGAGGGAGTGTGTTATTTTGGGCAGTAGTCCTACTGGCCCTGCAGGTCTCTCACCTCAACCCCTCAATTAGACAGACTGGAACACCTGGATCAGCAGGTGAGCCTCGCTCTGGCTTGCTAATGGCCCCAAATCAACTCTTTACTCATAAACACACACCTTCCCATTATCTAACTACATATCCGCTTATGCTCAGCAACACTTTAGACTTTAATACACACCTGTGTTCTCAGAATGCTATGACACTATTTAGAGCAAACACTTATGAAGAAACCCTTACATCTGGCATATCTATAAGTAGAATAATAACTGGCTGTTGATTGAAAGCAATGGGTCAAAGTGTAGTCATTATTATAAAGATAGCTGCAGGGCGAAGGTGAGATCAGGCCACTCAGGTTTCTTCTTTGACAAAAATACGAGTCTGATGGCTTTTGAGTTAGTGATGTGTTTAGGTTCTGGGACGTGATGCAGCATAGCAAAGATTCCTTAAAACAACAGAGGTCTGACTCATTTAGTAGGAATTATTGTGGTAGTTGCGCAAGAGTGTGTCAGAGAAAGTTTAGGCCAGTAATGATCAGTGCAAAGTTGAAATGAAACTTTACACCGACATAAACCATAATTTGGCCCACTTTCATTAAAAATAAATCACTTTACATATTTCTGGAGAGGAGCACCATTAAGCACACAGTGTTTTCTCACCTTGTGTTTGTTGAATTCCAATAAACGATGTGTCTCTTGGCCACAACAGCTGAGATTAAATTAAAGAGGAAAATCGTCACTTTCCAAGCAGGCAGATCCCCCGGTGTCCCCATTCTGGCCGCCTCGGGCCCCCCGGAAAGAGCTGCGCACCGGCGGCTGGGAGTGGCGTGCGAATCAGGTGAGACCCCGACAGAGGAGCTGGCTGAGCAGTTTCCCCCCCAGCAGATTCACCAACTCGTGAACAAACTTCTACGTCATGTGCTGCTGCAGTCTCGCATGATGCATGAAGGTAGGCTAACGTAATTAAAGTCCTTCTAAAAAATAGCAGGTTAAATCACAGGCTGCAGAGTGGGAGGTGAGGGTTTCAACAGGGAGCATTTCCTGAGAGTTTCTCCGTTGTCCGCATGACCGTAAAAGGAACTCTTGAGCTCAGTCTTGGAAATTAATTAAAGACAATAAACCTGGGTTTAAAGGTCAGGATTTCGGGTACAAAGTCCTGGCTCAGGATATCAATTGAAAATGCCAGCTGATTTGGCAGCAACAGGCTGAGAGCGACGAAGGGAGGGTCCGCTGAGCTGAGGGCGGGACCCGGGAAACTTTAGACCAATCACCAGGCAAGGGTGTGGTGATGTGTGATACTGTAGTGCGCCGTGCGAGGTTAAATCCTGGAGAGGTGCGCCGACTGGTGTGGGGAGACAGACTGTCACAGTTTGTCAGGGAAGCCTTGAACCCCCCCTATTTTCTCCCCCCTGACATGACTCATCTGGAGCTAGATGCTCAATTTATTTATTATTTAAACGTCTTTCATTATGCTCCAACACACACAGTCCTAGGGCAGCTGATGCAGGGTGTTTACCTATAGGTAGGCTACTCCAGTAGAGATGTGCCTTTCACAGAATTCAACTAGCAAACTTCCAACACATTTCCTTCCAGCTTTAGCCTAGTCACCGTAGCTATAGCTCATAGTAGGGCAACGTTACCTGGTAAAATGATGCGTTCAGGTACCCAACACATAACAATCAAATAGTTGGGCGCCACACCACCCCTCATTTGGTTTAGCTACACTTGGCTGCTTGAGGTGTGTGTATGTGCCCCTGTGTGTGCCTGTGTATGTGTTGATATTAATTCACTGGTTGTTGTCAGACGCCCCAAGGGAGGGTGTAGTAACAGTAATCACTACGCCTCCATGGGCAAAAGCCACTGGTGGTCCCCTCTAATTATCTGATTCTCTTAAGTGTGTGTGTGTGTGTGTGTGTGTGTGTGTGTGTGTGTGTGTGTGTGTGTGTGTGTGTGTGTGTGTGTGTGTGTGTGTGTGTGTGTGTGTGTGTGTGTGTGTGTGTGTGTGTGTGTGTGTGTGTGTGTGTGTGTGTGTGTGTGTGTGTGTGTGTGTGTGTGTGTGTGTGTGTGTGTGTGTGTGTGTGTGTGATTACTATTGTTCCAGCCCTATAACTCACCCAGTCAAAGATACATTGATAGCTTTGTGTTATTTGCTGCTGCAATTGCACATTTGGCTATTTCCTTTCTGCAGGTTCCCCCTCCTTCTCTTGCTTTCTCCATCTTTTATCATGTGTATGTGTGTGTCTGGCTCATAGTGTACAAGTGCGTGTGGCACTAGGACTCATTAGCTCACTTCCTGGAGGTCCTGATCATTAATTTCCCATGATGCCTCAGTGCTCCTGTGTGGCTAATTTGTCCCTAGTGATAGCGCTCAGTAAAGCGGACCACAGAGGAGAAACTCTCTCTGCTGGGGTCTCTCTCTCTCTCGTTTTGATTGATCTATTGGACTAGACAAAACACATTTTGTAAGAGTGCCAGAGGTTAATAATGCTTTGTGAAAATTCATTTAATTTTACGTCTTTCTATTTGGAAAACTTTCTGACTTTCAATTTGGAATTGACTTCAGAATCAGAACAGTTTAAGTATGCAGCCCTGCAGCTAACTCTTGTGTCTCAGACTATAAATTGACCAGTTTCCCCCCCCCTTGACTCAGATTACATTGGAGAGAAAAGTGGCCTCATTTACCTCATGGGAGCACCAATTGAAATCTACAGTATGAGGCACTAAATTAAGAGCCGCTTTGATTGCAAAGCTGTTGAATTTCGCACATACTAATAGCCGTTTTAACTAAACAGGCAGAAAAATAAATATCAGCACTTTAAACTTCTATTCGTCCTCAAACCTTTCCCTTCCTCCTCTCCTCCTAAAATATTTGTTTCACACCCTGCACATCCTGTGTCTGCTATTCATCATTTTGAGCACTCTTTCCAAAAAATCTTTCTTCAATCTCTATCCATCATTCGTCCTAATCTTCCCTCTCATTGATCTTCTCATTACTGGTCAACATGTTTTTCCCCACATCTCCTGGCACAGTTTATCTCTCCAAAAATGTTCTGTTATCCCACAGTGTGTGTCCTATACTCTCCCATTCATGTAAGATTCAGTGGAAGTGTATTATGTATGGAAGAAAACATGTTAAGGTGTCATGAGTTTACCATTCAGAGAAGCAAGAATAGCCTACCAAAAACTGTTATTTGGCGTGTAAAGTGTGTGTGTCGAAGATGACATACATCAATAAGCTAAATGAGGTTTTTTTTCAGGGCCTTTTAAAACCAACTCGGACTAGGCTAAAGAAGATTCATGAATATGACAATTTAAAGTCCAATACAAAAGCCTGCATTGATTTTCTGCAGTTCTCTGTAAATACATATCACTGTCATTGCTCCAGGCGTGAACTAGTTTGTCATTTTCAATAGTTATATTTCCTGGGCTCCTTCTTAAATCGGATCTGAGGTAAGAGGCTTAAGAAGTGGTCAGCTTTTTTCAAAAATACAAAACAGATAAAAGTATCTTAGTGAGGTGTTGGGATCAGAGAAGCCTCCAGAAGGGCTTCAATCACTTGAAGATTCTTCCAAATAATAATTCCTGATGTCATGACGATAGAGAAAACGGTTTCACATATCTTTCCAAAAATTCCCCATTCATGTTCAACTCTAAGGGCCATAACATATGATTCATATCATTGTTTTACTTCACTGACTCATTCAATTAAGTGCCTTTTAAGGAAATGTGTATTAAGTGGCTCATTTATTCAAGTTTGTCACCCATTTATGTGAATGATTTTCCATAAAAGTATTATTAATAAATGTCAAAGGAATTTTCAGAAATCTCTCTTCATGTTTCTTCCTTCTCCTGCTGTTCCTTCTCTCTCCTTCTCTTCACACTTCACATTTCTCCCTCTCTCTTGTACAGTAGTGTCAGTAGCCCCTTAATCCTGTTATCTCCACATATACAGGCCAACACCAAGCCACTCAGCAGAGCTGTAATCAACTACCTTATACAAACACACTTGCTTTTCCTGAAACACAGCATGAACACACTCCTCTCCCTATTTCACTCTGTCTCTCTTTCTTTCACACACAGAGCGGCACTGGCCCCATTCTCCGTCTCCTCTGTAATCCCGCTATTTTTGGTCGCCTACTATTTTTGATCGGCCATATGCTTGAATGTTTCATACACATCGTGGCCTGTCTATCACTCATGTTTCAAGAACTACGGCTTGCCATAAGATATCTTGGTTCGCCTGTCACTATTCTCCGTCCTCACTTGTACTTCGACTTCTTCTCTTCCCATCCATGATTTTATTTGTGTTGTCCCAGCGACCTAACTTCATTCTTGTCTCCACTGTTGATTTATTTTTATCTGGCTTAATGATCAGCCATGGTTTGATTATGTTTTTTTTAACCTCACTTCCCACACACACTCCCTTTACAAAAGAAGCCTTTTCATAACTTTTTATTTTCTTTTTATGTCATTGTGTGCTCCCCTACCCCCTGCTTTTTCTCTGCAAAGCCTACTACATTTATTTGCAACAGTGCCAATTTTATGGGGTCATCACTTTGTGTGTATTTTTATTCTCACCTTCTCCTTTTTGTGAAAGTACATTGTGTGCATCTCTTTTCTTGTGTGTACCTCGCTCTTTTCCTCCCCTTCTCTCGCTGCGTTTCAGTTCCGTAATTACAGCTCTGGACTCAAGCAGTGATGGTAAATGCTTTTCTATTCCGCTCTCTCCATCACTCCCCCTCAATCTCCATCTTTCTCCTTTTCTCACCAAGCAAATTACATCTTGGTTACTATAGAGACATGTTTATTGAATGCTTTTCGCCAGAATTGCTTACTTCCCACAAAGAGCCTCTACCTATTTTCCTCTCTTTCCTCCTCAGCACCACTTTTTTTTCTCTGTTGACTTTTTCACATCACCCACACTGTGAATTGATAGTCATCTGTGTTTTTTCCTTTATTTAATTTCACTCTTTTGTTGTCTGAGGAGCCACTTTAACTTCTTTGGTGACTAATAGTTGCAATCTTTAAAGAAAAGATGAGTTTGGTATGTCGGACAGATTTTCAATGCAGTAGTCAGGGTTTTTGTCGGCACCGTGAGCGTCATGTAAGCAGATAAGGAAGGAAAGGTCTCTTATATGTGCGATCCATGTTTATTGACTATGTAAGTGCCCCTTACTGAATACAACACTGAGATGAGCAATACGATTGTGTCTGTTCTTTCCCCTCATCATCACAGACAAAGTGTCCAATCTACCTTTCTGTCTTTCTCCATTGGCTTTTCTTTCCTTTTCTGTTTGTTCATCTATTAAAAAGCCAGTTTTCCTTATGTTCCCTCTCGCCTGCCTCTCTCTAGTTGGATGGATGTGGAATTAAAACTTTAATACTTATATGGTGCTAGGGCTGAACGATTAATCGATTTAAAATCAAAATCGCAATTTCAAATGATGCAATTATCAAATCGCAAAGCCTGCGATTTGTTTTTAGTTTAAAAAAAATAAATCTTTTTTAGTTTTGTTCTTCTTGTGTATCAGACATCCACACCAATCAGAAGTGCTGTGCTCCACATGTACCAGTCATTGTTAACCAATCAGAAGTGACCCATGATAGTAGGTGATAGACAGATTGAGCCAAGTATTTTTGAAATACTTTTCCAAATGGCTTCCAATGGAGCTTTCCTAGATGGTTTGGTGAAACAAACCATCTGAGTCAGGTTAGTAATGCTCCATCACATGTTTTACATCTATTACAGGGTGAATCTGAAACTGAAGCTTGACTTTAAAGCAACCCAACGGAAGTTTCATGTAAGTTTAGTTCTTTCACTCGTAGTTCGGGCTGCGGGGGTGCTAGAGACGGGAGCACGTTGATACGACCTTCCTTGCCGGAGATATGGCCGCATTTTACAATAAACTTCCGTTGGGTCGCTTAAAAACAAATATCGCAAATCGAATCACAATCGCAATATCTGTCAGAAAAATCTCAATTCGATTATTTCCCCAAATCGTGCAGCCCTATATGGTACTGACTGAAACAAAGGCTTTGCATCCTTTGCATAATTTCTGTCGTTATCTTATTGTTTGATCAGATAAGCTACTTATTGTGAACAATGTAACTTCTGCTAAAGAATGTTTTATGGCCACAAGTGACACTTAAGAGATGATCAATAATAAAAGGAACAGTACAAGTAGAGAATGGGTCTAAAGTTGGCAAT